GACGGCGACGACGGCGGCAGAAGCTAAGAGAACATCACGCTTGCCCAAGCTCACCCCCATTCAGTTGAAAGTGTGAACGAAGACCTTACTTATCTTTTATTATCTCACATAAATGGGCGACAATTTACTCAACGCAGAAGAACATTCATGAGGTTTCCAGATTAATCTAAGACTACTAGCATAAAGTTAGATTGATCTGGAAACTGTCGTTGTTTCAGTATCGAAGGATTTCCCTGCTCAAAGTGCGTGAGGTGCATAGCACCAAAACATTTAGAATTGAATGAAAATAAATTTCTTCCAACTCTCTAGTCTCGGGCTGGATTTTGAATGTGGTTTTTTTAGAGACAGGTATTGTCAGTCGTGTGATAATAAATTTGTTTTGACCTTCCCACGGTTTTCGAGACTCTGTTCATAATTCACAGCTTCACACATCTTCCCAGTTCAATAATTCTAAAATAAGACTATACTACCTAAATTGTGTATATGATATGCAGTTTGCAAGGCGATGGAGATGTATGTTGTGGTCTTCTTGGTTGTGACGGTTTATAAATGATTACCTGCAAACCCCAGTGGACCACAAACGACACCCAAATTGCAGATCAATCGTAAGAAACGAATTAAAATTCATGTCATTAAAGAAAGTTGTTCAAAGCCTCTTTCCCGGCGGCTATTTAAAGGTTGATGATAATTTCTGTTTGTGATACAGATAAGTTTTTGGCGTTTTGTAAAGAATAATTTTATCAATCTCAATGATTTTGAGCAGACGTATTTTTTTCTTTTCAGCGTGTGATATTGATTTAGGGTTCTATCGTCTGTGTTTGATGGTGGATCCCGTGCATTCCGTTTCCCTTGCACGTGAGACGTCAATATGGCAACACAGCGCCGTGGCGCGAGAGCGAGTCTGAGCCGTTGAACATGAGGTCTGTTGTCTCCAAGTCGGGAGCTAGCTAGTGAGATCCCCGCCGCAGAGGCAGAGCAAAAACTTCAGCAAAAATTGTATGCAGTGGTACGCTGCGTAGCACCTCTCTATAGATGGCTCTTGCGTCAGCGGGTGCAGCCCCGTATGTCAGCCTATATTATTCAATAGTGCAACGAGCAGCATCTCGATATTTTAAGGAATATTGTAGGTCTGGTGAGTTATTTCTGATTGTACTGTGAGATTCCTTTGGGTGTCTGCTTGCATCTGAAGGAGAGAGAGAGCCGTCTCGGTTGGGATATCGCATGGGAACACGCTCGGTTGTAAGGCAATGCATCTCAGCTTTGGTTTTTGAAGTTCCTTGTTTTGACAGTTCATTCCATTAAGTTCTTGCTTAAAATCGACTAATGATTTGCTTTAATGTGCCCGTTAGTTATTAATGTATTAATGCTAATATTTTTCTGTCATTTTTGTTTCTGCTTGCGGGTGTCTGGCTCACCCAATTTTTAATTTGAGTATATGGCTTAATAGAGATCCAAGCTTTTATTTTTTCTTCATTTTGCTAATAGAGAACACTGAATAAGAAGAGCAGTACTTACAACATTAATATCAAAAGTTGCCCGAATTTTAATCTAATACCTGACTTACTAATTTTGTCATGAGGATAGGTACAGGGAAAGAAATAAGGGCTACATTTGATTTATTTTAAGAAATTGGTAATGAAATTCTGAAGTGAAAATTGAGATTATGTGCTTCTTGTTCTACAGGCTAACTAGATCTGTCTAAATGGGGCTCAGTCCGTTTAGGGGTTGTGCCATGGTGGCACGGTGAACCCATCCACGTTGTTTCAAACTCTTTGGCACATTTAACGGTGATGAGGAGTGGACATGGCAATAAATTTCTCGGCATCATTTGCGGCGTGCTTGGCCGCTGGCCTCAAGGTGCCCAGGCAAATTATGTACTGCATTGCTCAGGGTAAGAACAAATTTTTTCACAAGTAGCACTGCTAATGAGACTATGAAGGCTTGTGGCATTTCATGGTAACACTTGCCTTCAGGACTATGTGAGAGGAGTTGGGAACTCCTTTTCTTCATGTTTGGACTCCTCTTTTATTAATTTACTTAGCTATATTCTGTTTTGAAATGCATGTTTTGTTCTTTTAAATTCAACATTCCTTCCTGTATACCTTTTGCACTGAGAGATTATCATCTCATCCTGCAAGCAACAGTATGTTTGAAGACATATATGTTTAACTGTAGTTGTATACTTGTTACTGTAAGAGCTATTTTGTTTTTAAGAGTCAGCAAGCTTTACTTTTTACTGTGTTACTAAGTTGGTTGTACAGTACATGTGAATTTATTGTATTGTCCTCCAAACTTTACTTTACAATTGTATGCACAGAAAAATTTCTAAGTATTGTGAACCCAGGAGTAATGAATGTAGACTTTATTTGTGCAACATAACAGAACATGAAAACATGGCTCTCCTAGCTAAAGTGTTTTGCCTGGACACTACCTTAAGTTTAGCCACAGTAATTTTCTTCCACGTCCTGTCCAGTTAATTATTATCCTGTTTTTTAGTGCTGTATAATCCGAGTTACTGATGGTGGTATTAAATAATACATATATTGGTGTCTGTATAGTAATTTACCAAGAGTAATATTTCAAGTTTAAATACCTAAGAGGAGTATTCAGCAATAATTAAATGCCGAAACCACTTTGTTATTTAAGCATTTAGGTCTAAAAGTTACACTAGAGGCTTCAGAATAATCAGATACAGATTTAATTTGATGTGTGTAACTTCTCTGAGAGTATTGTAACAGTTATCCTTGTTAGTGTTTATAATCATATATTCTTATGCATTGGGGACAAGTTTATTTCTATATTTTTAACAATTATTGTCACATTTGATTTTGTTAAAGGTATCCTATTCTTGATTTTACACACTTTTGTACTTTTCTTGCAAAATTTTAGAGCAGCCAAGCTCTCCTTGTTGAGAAGCTGCTGTCTGATTTGCCATATCAAATTTAAAACAAAAATTTTATTAAAAGGTACATTTTGTCTATCAGGTTAATTGTGTGCTGAATTTTTTAAGCATTACATTTCTCCCTCCCTCTAGTAATTCTTTAAGAATGCTTCACATAAAAGAGAATGCGCTGCCATGAATCATATAAAGCAGAAGAGGGTGGATTGAACATTTGGAATTGAGTATGCGTCCATAAGAGCATGAGGGACATTTATAATATACGTGTAAGTTCCTTCCTCTGTGCTTTCTTTGCTTTGTAACATTATCTTCTTGGTTTAAATCATTATTTTTAAAAAAAATTATTGTTAATAACTTGTGTGCTGTGATTACTATTTTGGAGCAGGTGTACCATTTCTAGTAATACAGATGGTAATTGTAACTGCTGAAAACATTCATATTTTGTCACTTGCACTGTTATGACAATGGACTACTTTTGTTCATGCCTTTCATATGATGTCCTTTCATTACAGATACGGGGGCACCATACGTATTATATAAAGACGGAATGGATAGGCCTCAAGGGCAGCCTGGACAGTGGGGCCCAGGGGCACCACAGGATGGGGGTTATCCCCCGCAAGGATCATCATCATCCGGGAGTCCCCAGCATCCATGTGGTGGTCCTGGTGGAGAAACAGATGGACCTGGATCTACAGGGGCCAATGGATTACCACCAAGCAGGGACCAACAGCAACAGGGTACAATGACATCACCTGTTCCCTCACCCTACGCTCCACCACAGTCAGCACCACCTGATCCTGTGCAAGCGCCACAACCCCAAGGACCACCTCATGTACCTGGAGAAGAGGATCCTTCACAGCAGCAGCAGATTCAACAACAACAACATTCTCCTGGCACCCAACCTCAACCCCCCCAGGCCCCTCAACCACAACAACCTCAGCCTCAACCACACAATGATGTGGACCAGCAAGACATGAAACAGTGACACATTCATACGCAATTCAACAGAAAATCCCACACTGGACCTGGCTGTTTTATAAATACGCTTCTCCGTTGAGTGTGTGGATCTTTAAAAATAGTACATAACCGGCATTCATAAAGCGGCATAATCTTTGTACAAACAAGGCACTTGTGCCACTGGTTCACTGACAGGGAGGGTGGGAATACTGACGCCGGGTCCAGCAGTGAGATGAAGCCGCCGCCGCCGCCACCACCACCACCACCGCCACCTCCGCAACAACCCCAACAGCAGAGACCTCCTCCCCAGTGTTTTCCACCCACAGGTGGTCCTGGTCCAGGTCAGCCAGACATGCAACAGCACTCGTATCCAGGCCAACATTACTTTAAGGACTCACGCAGCCATCATGCACCGGTCATGCCTCCGCACATGCTGGCTCCTGGTGGCTTCACGGCCCTGCATTACCTAAAGCAACCTGGTGTAATGCTCACTTCACTCGGACCCATGGGTACAGGGGGTGGCGGGGAAGGTGGTGGACACTTGGTGGATGGGAGCGCTAATGGACATCCATATGGTGCGGGAGGTACGAACATGCAGGACATGAGAACTGCGTCTCTCCCCGACATCATTCAACAACAACAGCAGCAGCAACAGGTTGTGGTGGGAAAGGCAGGAAAGGGTGGAGCAAATGGAGAACTGAGGTTGTTCAAGTGCTTGACGTGCGGAAAGGACTTCAAGCAGAAGTCGACACTACTTCAGCACGAACGAATTCACACGGATAGCCGTCCGTACGGGTGCCCTGAATGCGGGAAACGGTTCCGGCAGCAGTCGCACCTGACACAGCACCTGCGGATCCACGCGAATGAGAAGCCATATGCGTGCGTGTACTGCGAGCGTACGTTCCGGCAGCGCGCGATCCTGAACCAGCACCTGCGCATCCACTCTGGTGAGAAGCCCTATCAGTGCCCAGAGTGCGGGAAGCACTTCCGCCAGAAGGCCATCCTCAACCAGCACGTCCGCACACACCAAGGCGAGCGACCTTTCTCTCTGACTACCACCATGCTGCCGGTCGACCGATGCATCAGCGCTAAGTTGGCCGCGCTCTTAAAGATCTGTAGTAGTGCTGCTGCAAGTCAGACACGACTTTGAAGCGTCAACTGCACGATCGAGTAAATGCAATTTGCAAGCCAAGTATGGTTGTTACCAACATAACTTCTCTGGCTGTGTTGTGCCACTGTCAAAATTTGATGTTTGCCTTGTGTGCGGTTGTCGTCATGCCTTTTGGTCTGGAGTATTTAGCAGAGTCTAAATTATTACCATGCTGTCGTTTAAAACTTAATTAACATTGTACTGTCATAAATGCATTTAAAATAAGAATTATATGGCACCTCTGAATGTAAACTTTGTCTGTAATGCTTTTTATTTGGGTGATTATTGTAATTGAACATGTTATATGTTTGGCCATTTGAAATATCGAAAAAGCTGTAGGGAACAGATAGGTGGATGTATTTTGCAGAGTGTTTGATTCTCAGATTTATGGTCTGAATTTTGGGGTTTTGTATTGGGGAAGTTATGATGGGACAATTATACTATGCATGTTCCTTTCTGTCTCGGCTGGTAAACTGCAGTAATCAAAGGTATGAACAAGTTCAAAATTATATTTTCCCTCAGCTGTTGAAAATCAGGATAGAAGATTTCCTGAAATTGAATGTGCCAGCAATTGGTGCCATGAAACATGCCAGTAATATGGACATAATCGCTTTCTTGCTACTTGCTTCATTGTGTAATATTAACAAAATGAAAACTGAATATTGATGCATGTAATGTTGGCTCTACAAGGTTGGTTTGTGTGTCTTGTTGTGTCCTTACAGATGTGAGTCCCCATCTCGTGTTCAAGAATGGGATGACACCAACACTGTGGCCACAGGATGTGCCATATCCACCCGACGCAGAAAAGGATGACGCTGCATCGACATTTGGCGGTGGTGAGGATGGGAGTTCACAGCAAACAGATCAGCGGGGCAATGGACAGTGTTTCTCCCCTGACTCCCTCCAGCAATACCCTGCCTACTTCAAGGATTCTAAGGGGGCAAACCATGCAGCTTTTGGGGGTGGGAACTTTGGAGCACTTCAGTACCTAAAGCAGGGTCAGGGTGGAAAGGGTTGCTTGCCTGATGTGATACAACATGGACGAAGTGCAGGTATGCCCTTGTATGTGCGCTGTCCAATCTGCCAGAAGGAATTCAAGCAGAAGTCAACACTGTTGCAGCACGGCTGTATACATATAGAGTCTCGACCGTACCCGTGCCCAGAATGTGGGAAGCGTTTCCGACAGCAATCTCACTTGACGCAACACTTACGCATACACACCAATGAAAAACCATATGGTTGCGTGTACTGTGGCCGCAATTTCCGTCAGCGCACCATATTGAACCAGCACCTACGCATTCATACAGGTGAGAAACCCTACAAGTGTTCGCAGTGCGGTAAGGACTTCCGACAAAAGGCTATTCTAGATCAGCACACGCGGACACATCAAGGCGACCGCCCGTTTTGCTGCCCCATGCCTAATTGTCGACGTCGCTTTGCTACAGAACCAGAGGTAAAGAAGCACATTGAGAATCACATGAATCCTCATGCAGCTAAGTCTCGTCGCAACAACAATTTGTCGGAAACAAAACATCACCCTGTTGGTGCCATGGGGAGTACGGGAGATCGCGGACCCTCTCTGCTGTCCCGAGGTATTCCCCCCACAGCCGTAGTGAAACCAGAACTGTACTTCCCCCAGTGTTATGCTCCAGCATTCAATCATCAGCCAGCCGTGGGCCCCGGTGCCCAGTTTCCTGGTAATCCAAATCCTGCTCCTGGCAATGGGGAGTTCAAACCTCCCACAGGCCTGCCTGCACAATGACTAACCGCTGCCTCACTCCGGAACTGAAGTCGTGCTTGGCCCAGTGGAGAGAGATTGTCGTGTCTCTCACTTGACTTAATGCCGGTCTTAGACTGGTTTAATAGTATGTGATAGAAATAATTTGCCAAGATTTTAAATGAAGAAATAGGAAAAATGTACATATTATTGATTGTAATATTATAGTGTCTTGACATAAGGAGGAAGAGAGATAGCTGCGTTATATATAAATATATAGATAACTTTTGTATTGATGCCGTAATAACGCTTGTGCTGAAACTTTTGAAAAAAGAAACAAAATTGTAGATAATACGAAATACATATATATATATATATATATATATTTTACGTGATTTTCATGAGGTGCTGTTGAAGGCAGTGAGCATAGCAGATGTCCATCTGTAGTGTTCATATTTTTTGTTTTAACGAGATGTTGCACATCATGGCAATGATGTAAGGAGGAAACCTATCTCGAGGTTCACATAAACAAGAGGTTTTAAAATGACAAATGGTGGCAATATACCGTCTTATCATATTATTAATATTATAAAAACAGTTAAATGTAGTCTCTTTCTTACTGTTACTTGTTTGATCTCGTTTTAGCATCATTTGCAGATCTGTTAAAGAGCATGGTTTTGTACAAGTATTGTATGTAGTGCCTATAGAAGTATTGTTCTACTCTTGTTTAGAAAATGAACACGTTGTCCCTGAAAATAGATTTTTTACTATATTTGGTGTGGAATGAAACATTCCTCCCCATTGTTGCCATATGAAGGGAAGAAAATTATACATGCATTTGAAGTATGTAAAATTGACACTTGGAATGTCTAAAATATTCGTGACGAAGGTTATTTTGTCACGAGAAAATGTGTGGCCACCACATACAGGGTCCTGGCTTTAACAGAGGGAAAGTAGCGGTAACTTGTGTAGATTACTTCTTTATAGATCTTTCCGACACATTAGAAACACTTGCCATTTAAGCATGTTTGGAGTGCACTGGAATGTACAGTGTTTGGTTTTGTGTGTTTAGAAATTTAGTTTTGCATTATTTGTTGAGGAAACACCTCTGCAGCCACTGTCAATATTCACAATTTGTGTGTGTGTGTGTGTGATTCAGATGCATGAAATGTGTCTAAACACCAGAAATCTCCAGCACCACCCAAGATGTTTTTCTTTCAGATTTGATAGATACTTTGAAAATCTAAGCAACGTATAATGTTCTCTTGGGCTACCAGCCATGTCAGATGGCTAAAAGGTGAAAGAACCAACGTTTCAAGAACCATCTCTGCCTTTGTCCTAAGGGGATTGTTTTTCAAATTATTTTTTTGCCTTAACCACCTGACACTGCCAAATCACAGTGAAAGCTCCAAAAAGCAGTTTCCAAAAATGAGCATAGATCAGTACAGTTATTTTATATATGGCCTATTTTTAAGTGCACTTTCTGGTGACCAAAAACGAAGTGGGGTGCAAAGTAAATTTCATTTTGCCTTATAGGTGCAAGTTAAAATATTCAGTACTGTGGTCTTCATTTCATCATTCAATTTAGTTGTCCTTTTGGACTTTTCTAAACAGAAAAGATGGTCCTTGACATTATAAGATTTCCTTCATGATTATTCTACATTTGATGTCTGCATGTTGTAGTTTGAAAATTTTGACTACTGTTTATGTGTAAATTGTTTATGGTTGATTTGGTTATGAGTTAATTAGTATAAAACATTTTTCTTTGAATATCTTGGTATTTCGCAGTTTCAGTAATGTACTGAATGGGATCGTGATACAGAAAAAGAAACTTGTACTACTATTTCAGAGATAAATGTACAATATATATATATATATATATATGTATATGCAGTAAAATTTCAGATTAATGTATCCATTCTTTGGCATAAACAATTTAGTGAAGATGAACAGTGCAGAAATGTGCATGACCATTGAAGTATTTACACCAGAAATTATATTTAGCACTACTGCAGTTCTAACAGAAATAAGTAGTACAATTCTTATCTGTTTATAACAATCTTTACATGAGTGTCGTAACTTTTAAATGTAACTACATGTGGTTGTTTAGCAGCAATTCCATTCTGATAGGTAAGTGTGCTGTGAGAGATTGAATTTGTTTTAAACCTTCATCAGTTTTTGTGTAGATACTTTGTTTGTCATATACATTAATTTGTGACATTCTTATGAATTTGTACCCGATTTTTCATAACAGTCAAAATTGTCTTGGGAGTTCATAGGCTGGATATATCTGCTGTGGTTTGTGTGTACGAGAGAATTATCCAATGTAGGCTATTAGTTTGTGAGTGTTTTTATCATATCTGTTGTTTTACTGGGTGACCATTGTTGAGTTTTGCATAATTATGTGCATTGTACATGATTATGCCAGTTTTATGTTGATTGTTTAAGGTATATTTCATATATGTGACATTACAAGAATTATTATTTTCAGGCAATTTGTCATCATACTGACATTTTATTGTATTTAATTATATTTCTGGTGATCTAGTGGTCAGTATTTTATCTTAGTACTCAAAAGGTCCCTGGTTTGATTCTGTCACCACTAGTTTTAATGATCTCTCAGTATGACAACCAATCTCCTGAAGATAATGAAATTAACTCAAAATATTGTGTATATAAAATATACCTCAGGCATTGTCACTGTCCAGCATAATATTGGTATAATGAATTATTGATTGTTACAAATGAAGTATCCCAATCATTTGCCGCTTGGAAGATGTGCCATACAACATGGAGAGGTTCCTGGGCAATTCATAGTCACATTAAATGTACCAGTGATAGTTTTATGTTTGAAGAATGGATCAGGTAGTAGGAATAATAAAAATTAAAATGCAGGCATGAAAGTATGATGAAGATGTAAATTCATCCTTAGTTCCTCAACAAAGTGAGTTGGGTTTGCATTCTGACTTCCTTCTATGTTGCAATCTTCATTTTTCTCAGTTTTGGCTACTGAAACAGTCTACTAGTTCAGTTAGGCATTTCATGAATGAACATTCTCCATAAATCTATATCAGGCATGTCAAGCTCTTTGTCTACTAAGGGCTGCTTAAATAAAGTAACTTCTGCCTACTTTTACTATTCTGTGCTTAAGCTTAGGTTATATTTTGGGTTGTAAAAGCATTAGCATTGGCAGATGTGTCAGTTCTAGGTGCTTGAAGCTATTCTCTCTGCATAAGCGTGACATGTATAATGTAATGTGTGTTTTGACTTCACTTGCCAATACATCATACCACATGTGCTTTTGGTTTGGAATATCAGGTCTAATAGAAATGGGACAGGGTTGCACCACTCATAGAAGGTTCCCACACTTCATTAAAAGAAAATCAGTTAAGATGGCTAAACCTAGAGTGGTAAATTAGAGTCTTCACAAAAGTAAAATTATCTTGTAGACTGAACAGGCCTACTACAAATTGTCATGTTTCTTTGTGGATGAGTTTTGCCCCCCTTGAGGTGTGATTCCTTCAGCATCTGTAATGTCCCTTTGTTTCATTGTCATTATCTTCAGCTAAAGTATGTCTCTGTTATGACGATCATCGCCACAAGTATTTATATTTTAAACTGCCAAAAAACTGTATATCCACAGTCAAATTTTGTGTATGGTGGTAAAATGTGGACTGGATAAGCATCAATCTGCACTCATTCTGTTTGCTGGATTTTCATTATTTTCTTCTTGTGTTGAGTGGGAAATTTTGTAAGTTACGTACTGGAAAGGATGTGGAAGGAAATAGTCATTGCCTGTTTTCTGGTCCCATGCTAGAATGACTTTCTCTGTTAGGCCACACTCTTTGTTGTGCTTTAACACCTTGGAAAGCAACCTGACAGCAGAGTGAGATGGTGTCGACACATTTTATGGTCAACATATGGATATATCAGTTGAAATTATTATTGTAGTATGAAATGTTGTTTAAAACAAAACCAAGTACAAGAATGAGGACCCATGCAAGTATAAATTGGAAGTGAGATTTATATTTACAAGATGGAATTATTTCCCTAGAGGAAAATTTATTGCATGTCATTGTTTCTTACACTGTAATTTGTGAAAGCAGTGTAAAGATGAAAACTTTATGACTAGTTGTCAGTATCTTATTTAGTGTCTCTGTGTTTGAGTTTATGTTTAGCCACTATATTAACTGCAACATGCATGCATACTTCTTTTTTATTTATTTTATTGATGGAAGCAGTTTCCACTGATTTTATATCTCTTTATTGTTGCACAGTTTTAAATGTGCTATATAACAAGAATGGTACTGGAATACCATGTGGTTTCTGTAGAACTGGCTTATTTTCCTTGTGATATGTGGGAACTTCTTAAGCTTTAAATTTGCTTAGATTTTGTAAGGAAGCGAAACAGGCAAGAGTTCATTACAAATGAATTTAGTGCAATAATAATGGAGAATGCTGCATTTGTTAACTTCATATATTCTTTCCTACTGCATGATTTATTGTCATTTGATAATTTAATTAGTTTGTGCCATTCATTGTTACATATAACTATAGAATTTATTACAAGGGTTCATTCCACGCCGAAAGTGTGGAAAGTAATTGTTTAATAAGGACATTGAGAGCATTGCAAATGAGAGCCATCTACCGCAAAATAGGTTTAGTCAATGCAATTTTAATTTTGATATAACTTGGCAATAAATTAAATGTTGTACCTGTTTTTATAACATATTTAGATTTGCCTGTAAAATTTGATGTTAAATTTTAGATAGATATATTACTTGAATGACACAGGATTTCAGAGCAAGAAAACTTTTTAAAACTAGTTTAATTAATTATTAATAGTTTGTCTATTATAAGTTCAATTAATTTAATCAGCCTGTAGGTAGTAGTTGTCTTTTACAAAAAGAAATGATCATTTTAGTTTTTGAATTGTCCATAAATATGTATTCAGCACAGTTTTGTTGGACAATTTTTTTGCATATTCAAGTTTAGATAGTTTTCCACAAATGTTTATTCCAAATTGAAACAGAATTATCCACAAAAAAGTATTGCATCATGAAGCACTTCACAGGAAAGAATCCTAATTGGTAAATTTTACCATTATATGTCATTCTGTATTTGTTGTCAGTCAGATTTATTGTCTGTGTTTCAGAACTATCTGCAGTGTTACATAGTTGTTGGTCTTGTACTATACATTAATATCAAAATACATTTCAAAGCTTTGGGGCAAGGGTTATTTTTATGAAACATTGTTGGGCTTAAAGTGTCTTGTGCTTTTGAGAGGTAGATCTTTTTTAAAGTGGGTTTAAAACAAAGTTTTTGGGTGTGACAAGTTTTGGCAAGAATGGAATTCTGGTTCTTAATATTAAGACTTCTGAAATACATTCTTCTACTTTTAGCAAAATAAAATAAATGATAGGCCACTATATCAGTGGAAGTTAATTGAGTGGATGTTTTTACCAGTCATTAAACATTGGTTGATTTTTAATTTAAATTCATCGGTCAGTTTAAGAAATTTGAACCAAAATATCAAGTTTTGTTCATCCAGAAAACTCTTAAAAACAGTATATGGTACTAAGCTATAAAATACCCAGAAAATTCTTAATACTCTTACACATAATAGAAGTTTTGATGAACCAATATAAACTAGAATTAGATTTTCTGACAAATTTTGATACTAAACGCCATAAATGTTTTTGGAACTTTAAGTGAATAGACATGATTTCTCTATTGTGCATTCACCAAATTATGATAGTTGGAATTCACTAAAAGTTAGAAGTGAATTACAATGGTTTATTGTGAGAAGTCTCCCTCCCAAATTATATATTAGCATATATATGCAAGGATTCTTGAATTTATTAAGAAATTGTGTAGATTTAAGTTGCACTCCGTCAGTTTCCAGTTTTAAAACATATAAGAGGGAGTCCTTTTCAGTATTCATTTTATTTTTGCAATTACAGATTCATAGTAATGGATGTATTTAATTAGCCAATCCTGTTCATACAGTGCTGCTTTATTTACAAAATCAAATACCTGTCATGTATATGTGTTATTTTATTTTTACTTTACAAATATGATTAGTTTCTAAATACAGTTTAACAGCTTTATTTTTCTTGTTTACATTTAATTGAGATTGAGGGGTAGATGACTCTCTTTAATTTGCCTCAAACTACAGTTGCCTGGAATTTTGCATTGTCTGGATGTTATATTTATTATATATTTTAAATGGACACATTAACTTGGCAGAAGTGTAACCATCAATATTTCAGATAGTGAGTAAGAAAGACACTGTTAATACACACATATGTTATTCAAAATTCTACTGATTTCCAGAAGAAAGTTTAATAGTAACATGATAAATTTAAAACTCATCCCATTGTTTTAAAAGTACAGTAAAACATGTTTGTTTCTTCAACCTTCAAAATTGTATTTTTTTTATAAAAAAACATAAATATATGAATTATATTTACTTGTTTTAATGAAATTTATACTGTGATTTCGTACTAAAATCTTATCGACAAAATCATACTAACGGACCATGTTGAGAATCAGTCAGAATTATGTAAGAATTACAATGAAAAATATTCAGGCAAGATTTGTAAAATGTAATAAAGGAACGTTTTCTGTCATGAAATTTCTTTGATGTTCTGTTTGTGAGAAAATTTTCAGTACTACCCAAAATGTATGTACCTTAGACCAATTTCTGTCCTAGTCACCATGTTTTTTTGTGGTGAGATTATATTTTATTGTGCATTGGGTATTAATAAACCAAACACAATGAGTTTTAGTCACAACTTGAAGCTACATTTTAAACCATAGTTTGATTTGGGAATTTTAATATCAGTACATCTCGGTTCCAAATGTAACTGTCATTCTGTGTGAATTCATCTACTCAAAATACTTAACAGAATGAAGTCAAAGCTTTCAAAATTATCACAAAATATGTGTAAATGGCCATTGTTCTCCTGTAAGTAAATTATTTAAACTTTCTTCTGCTTACATTTTACAGTTGTCAGAGTAAATTATGAGGTCATTTTCAATTTGATTAGGTTTCATGGGGGTGATTATGGGAATTTAAATATAGCATGGTACTGTTGCACTGTTAGGAATTTTATCTGTATAATTTCTTGTGGAGGTCAGAATATGCAGTATGCAAATTTGATGTGTAACGGACTTCCATAATTTCGGTGATGTTATGTAAAAAACACTGACTGTATTTAGAGTCTCAATATTATCATTAAGATCCCAGTCTTTTGCTGTGGTATAAGGGAGTCTCGTGATAGATATCTATGCCTTCTGGAGCATGGGAAAAGTTTAACATTATCATGCTTTGCTTCATCTTGGCCGTTGATGCAATACAAATAATTGATTGACATTATTGCTGTTGTTTTAAAGTGCAAAATGCATGATTGTTTCCAGGCACTACTAATATGGTTTTGAGGTATATAGTATCCATAGCTGTGAATAGAAGGCAGCATAGTATATGCATGATGTCACATGCCATATACTGCATTTTTATCTTGCATAGATACTCTTGATAATTCTGTACTGCTTATTTGTGTGTTGAGCATAATTGAATAATTTCTAAATATGATGTGCAGTTCTGTCTGGAATCATAGCTTTCCTAGCTTGACTTCCTTATAGTTTGATGTATCTGTGTGCATGGAATGATGGAATTGTTTATGGCGTTTCTGTCAGTCTTATTTTGAGATTTTATAACAAACGTGGCTGTGGAGGATATTTCTGACACTCCCAAATTTTTTATGCTAATAGTTTTTTTATACAGTGCACATTAATTTTCATTTCATAAGCTGCTGTTTTGGACATTATGTATTTATTATAATAGTTGTGATCAGAGTGGCAGTATAATTTTTTTTGTATATAATGTTTTCCTGAAAGGATTTTTTTATTTGTTTGGTTTATGAAAAGTTATAGCATATTTTTTATTATTAGGTGTGATTTAGAATTAAAACAAATGTGTTGACAGCAATTAAAGAGTTTTTTGTTGTTCCGTATACATTAATGTTATGTCTGTCGTTGCCAGCGAGATGATTTTAATCTTGCAGGGCATTCCACAAAGACATTTGATTGCACTACATGGCAGTCATCACAGTGCACTGGGAAAAGCTTGTTTGCAGGAAGTTCTTTTTATACAACTCTTTTCCAATTACTACTACTGATGTTTTGGAATTGCACTTAGTTGAACTGGAGTTTTCTGCTACTTCATTGGAGAGTCTATACATGACAATTCTGTGCAGCTCTCTATACTCATGTCTGTGTTTCACTGTTTTAGTGTGTGTATGTGTGTTTTTTAAAGATAGATTTAATGATTAATTTTACTTACATAAATGTATACATATATATATACACACACATACAGAGCGATACGAAAGTGCATGCATGCAGTTGTTGATGCAGTTCCCAAATGTATTGAACTGATAGCTCTCTGTGATAGTTAGTGCCTCCTCTCACACAGAAAGGAGGCCATAGTGTAACTTTCAATCTCGTATTGGTGCTGAAGGATATTGACCATGTATATACTGTGTATAGTAAGTAATAGTCAATTTGACACCAATTTTTCTAAATTTGTTTGTAGCAAAATGTGTGACAGTTGATTAGAACAAAGTTTTGAAAGGGAATCATTTGATGATTCCGTAACTTTTACTTATACTGTAAATTTGGAGTGAAATGTGTTTTGGATTTTTGTTCTTTATGTGTGTGCAGGAATTATTTCCTGCATTATGACGAAGTGTAATCCATGATCATTAAATATGTTTTGATGTGTGAAGACAATGGTTGCTGACTGTATGTTCTGTTGTAACTTGATGGTTTGGGAACTGCTGAAGTAACATGCATCACTGTGTGACCAGGTCAGGCCCTTTTTAAAACTTCAGTGGAAAGTTTAAGAATTCGGAAGGCTGTAGAACCCTTTGTCATTTTTCTATCAGCTTTTACACATAAGTCATCTCATACCTCCTGTTTTATGAACTTCTCTTAATACTGTTTTAAAAAAATAATAGAATGGCCAAATAAACAAGGGTAGTCAATTTAAAAGGAAGTCTAATTAATTTCTCATTGAATATATAAGTGTTTTATTTTGTAATTTTCTACGTTATTTTCTCATACTATATATATATATATATATATATATATATATATAAGGAAGTCAGATTTCAGGACA